GACAAATGTGCTTTGCAGACCATAACAACACAGGTTGTCTTAAAGAAAATAATTCTCACATGTAAGGAAATTCTCCTTCTTCAGGAATTCATCCTGCACTACAGCACACACATTCTGTGGCTGGGTTATTCTGTACTATGTTGTCAGACAAATATGACTATCTACAAAAGGTGGGGCACTCTCTGGATATCTAAATGACATAAAAATAGATAAGAACGGTTACAAAGTAGGAAAATGTTTAAAATGTATGACATGGGTTCAGTGACCAGATCACCCTTACCTGAGCAATTTTTTCATATATACTTTCTGTTTATGCAGCACATTTGTTGCCACATGCAAATGTGAAATACAAAATAAATCTGCAGCCTGCTTCCACATGTGGCAGAAATTAATTCAAAGCTGTCACCTGTCTTCTCTTCTGCCTGTCAGTTTTCTGTAGAGCAAGGATCTGTTTTCTGCAGTACTCCTCAGTGTATTTTTGTCACTTTGGTAGAAAGAGTAGTGCTATGCCCCATTTACCCCTGGACAGCATGAGAGCAGTAGCGTGACACCAAATTCCATGACTCATTTTCCTTGAAGCAGGAAAGGAAGCATTGAGGAAACCCTTACAGAAAGCCTTGCCTGTACTGGGGACTTTGGTGCCTCTTCCAGAAGTAGACTTGGATTCCCTTCAAGCCTACAGGAGTGTCTGTCACACAGATGAGAATTTCCTTGATCTTCTCTTCCTGCATGGCTAGTGAGAGGAGCAGAGTCTGTGCAGGATTCGGCCATTCTGATATCACAAGGTGAACACTCATATGTATGAATGTGATTACATGCATACAGCTCTTCAAAACTACTTACAGTTCATTTGAAAGCCTCTTTAGAGCTAGTAGATTTATATAGGCTTTTCATGAATGAAAATAACTCTAACAGGAAAAGAAAAAGATTTCTCTCACTATGACCTCTTAAATATAACCTACAGCTTGGGAGCAATGTGTCTGGTTGCATTGTCAGAGATTTCTACTGATGTATTTTTTTGTGTTCTTCAAGTAAGACGTAAAAATCATGTGGAAGTCTTAAAAGCTCCCATTGAATTACTCAATTTATGCTCTTTCACATACATTAATTTTTAGTACAGTGCAAATATTTGTATTGGCACACTATTTCCCTGCTCTGGAGAATTTAACTGGATTTGCAAATTGTAACAATATCCCTCTGTCAATTTAATCCTTTTACAGTATATATACTGGGGAATATGTCTCTGTAGTAAGAAAAGATAAAGAGAAATTTAGCCTGGAAATTAGATAAAGGCTCTCTAATCATTTCAGAAATTAAATTTTGAGAAAAACAAACTAAGAAACAAAAGCCTTCTTATAGCTTTTTTGATTGATTTCTCTCAGTTACCTGTAGAGGGTATTATACGCATATTGATATGGGCCACAACAGCACAGGTCTAGACCCAATGGCCCAAAGAGATATCTTCTGCACCTGTGTTCCAGTAAAAACACCATCAAGTTAACAATAACAGCAAAAATGCAACGATGAAATTATGCTTGCTTCTTTTTTCCACTGCACATAAATGCTTTTCCTCACTATCTGTGGTGAGACTGAGATTGAGTTTTACCTTTCTTAGTTTCAGTGAAAATACAATTTAAAGTGCTTTCTGTAAGACCAGATTTTTTTCTCCAACCAAGAAATAAATAGGAAGTGTTTGTTAAGCCTTTTTGTTATACGTTGTGCAAATTTTTGCCCTCACACTTTATTTCTATTTTTGTTCTTTCTGTTGAAGCCAGGATGATCTCAAAGCGGTCAAGCACACATAAATGTTAAAAGACCTTTGAAAGGGTATCCTGCTCATGCTTGTAATCTCCTCTTACATCTCTCAAGCACTGACTAATAGGCTCTCTCATATTGCTTTCAGGTATCATTGATCTCTGTGTATCCCTTTTAAGTTTCTGAAAAGTGCCCAGGCAGGAAAATGAAAGTGTCAGAAAGAAACCCAGCTAAGGAGAACCCTGCAAACAGTGTTGTTCAAATATTTGTTTTTCTCATCTTGAGGCCTCCAGTATGTTTGATTTAAGGCATGAAAAAGCAATCAGTCTAGCTGGTAGAAATTTTTTTTCTAAGCAAACAACCACAAGGATTAGAACACTAGAAGTGTCCACATTGCATCATACTTGGTAGTGGCTAAAAACTCCCCTCTAACTAGCTCAAATGAGTTGCCAAATCAGCTGCGGAATCTCACAGTTTTGTGACACTATACTAACATCTCTGATAAATAAATAGACTCCATTAGAAAGCAAATGCCAGTTTCTAGAGAGAAGTCATGTTATTAAGAGAGAAGACATACATTTGCAAGTATTATCCATTGACTTATTTTTATGAGAAACCAGCTCTGCATACGAACATTTTGAGGTTCTGCAAGACATGTTTAACAGCACCAATCTAAGGAAAAGAATCAACAGTTGCCTATACCAGAAGATCTTTAAAGGTTTTGACTGCACATAGAGAAAAAATGAATGGGAAGCATGGGAAAAATCCTGTAAAAGCTAATTGTAAAGTATGTGAAAGTTTACTTATTTCATGAGGACAGGCAAGAATTAAACTGGTACCCTACAGTAGGATGGCACTGAAACACGATGTCAAAGAAATTATGGTACAGGTGAGAAAGATGCCAGAGGTGTGATATACCAAGAGCCTGTAGTCACAGGGCCAGCAGCCTTTCACTTTCCACCAATACCAAAAACTAATCAGATGAGCTTGTTAAAGATCAGAATTCCCAAGTTTCATCCTGTCTTTATGCACACTTTGCAATCTCCCACACCAGTAATATATAGCAAAATTAATTAAACAATGTTCTTAATTATTTCTCAGATATTTTCACCAAGAATTTGTGTATTTGTCTCTGAGACACTTCCTTGTGTCATATGCTCACTGTAGGAGTTTGGGAATATGTAGGACAGACATATTTTTCCTTTGAGAAAGCTGCAAGTAAAATGAAAAGGTGAAGACTTTTAAAGGAGATATTCTCCTTTAATACTCCTAAGAAATTCAATTGAATTCCTTGAAGTAAACTGTCTTGCCCTCTTTTCTGCATAAAGAAAATTAAAAAAAAATTTTTTTTGAAATATTACAAGCTGTAATAGCAAGATATTTCTTAAGAGTCAGAAAAGCAGGAAAATGTCTGGTCCAGCAGCATTAGGCTCCAACAATGGAAAATTTTTGCAATACAGTTAACTGTTCTTCAAAATTTTATCCTCTTCTTTAGGGCAAGCTGAAATGATGCTTTATCTCAAAGGTGTTTTTTTGTTTGTTTGTTTTTTGTAAATGAAAGTGATAGCGAGAACAGAAAGGTTGTGGTATCTAAAAAGTAAAAAAAATATGATTTCAATATGGTGAAACTTTCACCAAGGAAATCAGATAGGAGTGCACTGAAAATTAAGTATATCAGATTACTGGGGGATGAGCAGCACAATCCTCTACTTGCTAAATAATATTCTCAGTCATCTCAGTAACATCTGACTCTTAAAAAGCTGCAGTAATTTGGTTACAGCAGATATGCAACAAAATCAACCTAGTTGGTAGTCCTAACTTTTAAGGCTGTTGCTTTAATGCAGTCAAATAGAACAAATTCTGGTGATTTACTGTTGGACTAGATTTCACTCTCCAGGCAAGATGCCATGAATCTGGGGTCAGGGCTTTGTAGGCTGCACTAAACATATCTTTTTCAACCAACAGGCACGTCTCACCGTTAATGCAGTAATCATTTGGTTTTCACTGGCCCTATCCTACCTGTTGTTTACTGCAAGCCTCTGCATGTTACAAATATAAAAACAGTAACTGTCAATTAAAAATCACAGTATTTTTTTTTTACCTATGATCAAATGTGCATTACTGGCACTGAAAATAAAACCATGCGAGCATGAACAGAAAATATGCCATTACACTCAAGGATTTAAAATAATGTGTCTCTTTAGTATTTCACATTGCAAACTCCAGTATCTTAAAATGTTGGGACATTCTTCTGCAGTCTGAGTATTCTCTGTGCACAAAGACAGACCTAATGTAATGAATAATTGCCTCTTGAGCGTTGTACTGAGCCTGCTATTGCCCTACTTGTTCTCCTGTGATGAGTGAGCTCCTTGGGAAGGGCAGATACATCCCAGGAAGTCACCACAAGGGTCAGAAAGACAGATCAAAGAAAGCTATCATTTAGAAGAAACGGCCATTATCTCGTAGTGATCAGCTTTATGGTCACTGTAAAAGGAAAACAAAAACAAAAAAACCCAGAAATCTCTCCCAGCAAGGAACAAATAAATAGCCTTCAGAGTCACCAAACCAGATCTCCTGGGATGGTGCATTAACTCAGCACTGCCCTCTGAATAACTTTGCTGCCAAGATTAGATAAAGCAGCTATCTCCATAGCAGTCAGCTATGCATAAACTGCCCTTGCTAAGCACATCAAAACTACCTGAACTGTAGTTCCTGACTTTTGCCTGTCGCTTTCTACCACTGTAATTATGCTCACTAATTCTATATATTAATAGAGAATTTACTATAATAATAAGGGAGCAAGATGCTAGCCAGATTTCCAGTTAGAATCCTTGTTCATTAGAAAGTCGATGTGATTAGATTGCAATTATTGCAAAGCTAAATGCAGAGCACTGGCAGCCTCCTGTAAAAAAGAGCAGTAGCAAATGACATGAACGAAGAGAGGCTCAAGAGTCACACTGTAGTACTTTGCTCAAATACATGTGATCAATAACTGGATTCTTCAGTTGTTCAGCTACTTCAGATACTTAAATCCATTCAGTATCAACTGTTCTGTCTCCCAAAATAGTTAATATCACACATCTTATCTTTCTGGAAACAGAAAAAGAATAGAGGAACAGGGAGTTTAGAGCAAAAAATATTAGTTCATGTAAACAGTTTCAACATATCATAGTAGGTAATTTCAGTACATTGCTCACTATACTGTCATCATTCCTTAATGTGTGTGAAAGAGCCATGAGTTTTCTTAAGAGGTGTCAGATTGAAATGCTTCCCCTCACCACCCTGCTCACTGAGGTGAAGAAAGCTGCAGCCAGAGGGAGGAGCAGGGCTGGTTCTCCAAGGAAATACACTGGTATGCCTACAACTTAGCAAATAAACAGTGTTATACACAGGCACTGCAAAGTAGCTCAGTTCCATACTATTCCTGGTACTGTGTTGGTGTGTGTTGGCAGCTCAGGCTAAATATTTTTCATACCAGTGCTTTCATCACAGAAGATACGTTATAGTTGAGGAATTCTCTAGGAACATACTGGTACCAAAATATCAGAGATTGAAAAATAAAATTAAAAAAAATTACAAGTAGAAAGGTTGATGCATTAATGTTGCACATAGTCAAAACATGATAAGATATGATGAAGATGGCACCTATTTTAATGGCTTACATTTTTTCTTCAAAATATAATAGATTCACAATAAGAATTTATACAAGAATTTAGCTATTCTTTTAATTCCTAGATGAAGGACTACCAACAAGCCTAATTCCCTGAGTATTATCCGAGAAATATTTTCAAATATACTTTTCGTCTTTAAATATTTTAATATGTAAAGAGCAATCAAAACTATTTAATATGAACTCTCTAAATTGTTGATTAATTACAGCAACGTTGAAACCAGAAGTGTTTTATGGAGCTCTCTATGCCCTCTCCCAGTGCAAGTGACCAACACATTCTGTCACTGATATAATCTGGTACAGTGTGAGAACTGTTTTCCATTAATAATCTCAACAACCTTCACTTTCCAGCAAAACTACTGGAGTAGTGATCAGAATACGTAATATTAGCCTTAGTAAAAGAAGCTAAATAAGTATTCAGAGAGTGAGATACTTTACAGGTTTGGCCTTAACATTTGTACAGCTGTTAGCATTCAAGAATGAAGTTACTCGTGCAGTAAAAATATTCTAATGAACTCAAATCTTCACTCAATAAATACTGGAAATAACTCCTAGTTGTTTTAGTAAAGGTCCTCCCTTTCAATGGGATTTTATGACATCAATCAAGTCACTGTAGACCTTTTAAAATATTTGACTTAATTTGGTGAAATCAGTTTTACAAAAATATTCTTACAATATTTGAGATAGCATAGATGATATTAGTAGCAACCTTGGAGAGTGGCCATCCCACTACTGCTTTCTCCTGTTGGATATTTTATGCTGTGATTCCAAAGAAGGAATACCAGCATATGTTGAGAAACCTTCAGGACAGAAAGTAAAGAGTGAAAGGTGTGAATCTACACAGCCCCATAGCATGATAGAGTCTGCTCTTGTTAATAAAACAAGGCTGATCCAAAAGTAATGCCTCCTATTTTATTATATTAGTCTACAACCTCAGAGTCAAATGATGGTGGTATTTCAGTAGAGGCTGAACTTTCCCATCAATACTCCATTAAATTTATTGCCATGTGACAAGTGGTAGCAGACTGGCAGTCTGACATGGAAGTGCATGTGGAGCAAAGGTGAGTTACTGAATTCCTCCATGCAGAAAAAACAGCACCAACTGACATTCATCAATGCTTGCTGAATGTTTATAAAACAGTGATAGTGGATAGGAGATCAAACAGTGGATGTGAGCACAGTGAGTGGTGTGTTTCAGCAGTTTTGACAGTGACAGTGGGCCACCTCTTCAGGCGCTGACATTTATAAGCACTAGATACAGGCTCATGTTTGTTGCTGATGAAAATGCACAGCTAATGAGGGTGACTGTATTGAAGAATAGTGTTTTGTAGCTGACAATTTTTTCTATCAAACAGTGTTATAGTATTCTTCTCAGCAGTTGTAATGTTCATGGAAATAAATAGGAGACATTACATTCAGACTGACCTGCATAGAAGTAGAATATATACTCAGCTGACGTGAAAATGATATTCACCTCATAAAATATTCTATTTTTTGGCCTAAACATATAGAACATTCAAAGAAAAACATTTCAGAGTGATTTTTATATCCTTTCAATTTTTTTTAAAATTCATTAATAATCCATCAGTCTTGAAAAATTGCTGTAGACAATAGAATTCATTCCTAAATGAAAATTTTACATTTTCAAGAGGAACAATATCAAACTCCTCATTTGAAATAATTTACTAAAAAAGTGCATTGTTTTTTATACTTTTCAGATGGCCAGACTGGGACAGACTTTATATCCAGCATTTAAACTGAATGCGTTTATTATGATAGAACACAATGACTGCATTGTAAGATTTTAGCTCTCTGATATCTAGCTCTTATTTCCACAAACAGATATCCCAAACATTCTTACCTGCGTACTCTCGCAAAACAAATATGAAATAGGTGAACGTAGAGGAAGAATTGATGTAGAGGTTTATTTGAGGAAACAGCTGCAGGAAATCATGAGTTTTCACCTCACAAAGGCTGAGCATTTGAAAAAGAAAGATTAATTACCCTATAAAAGGAACAAAGGTTAACAAGCTTTTACTTAACTTGTAAATATCTGAAGGCAAGTAAGCTACACCTACACAATAGATTTTAACTCTTTCTTGTAGCATCTCTCTCTAGAGTGGTATGCTGTATTTGATTAAAGAAAAGCCAGGCACATTTCAAGTCAGTAAAAATGTCATTTTTCAGCACTTTATATGTAAATACGTAATTATATAGAAACATTTATAAAAATAACAAAATAAAGCCTTTCTTGATTATTTGAACAGCAGCATAACAAAGAACTGTAATAGAATGCACAAAGAAAGTGTGGAATCCTCCAAAGTACCAAGCTTTCATTAAATTTCACCTTATGTCCCATTATGGTTCCTTTCCAGCTCACTCTGCATGCTTCCATGGAGACAAAAATAAATGAATCATTAATTTTTCCATACTTTCCAGCACGTATCACATGCAGTTGTTCCCTTGGATGTTCTATTACTCCAGTCAGAGCACCGCACACTTTTTCCAAGTATATGCCAATTACCAGTATATATCTATGTAGGTCTCTTTCTACAGCTCTGGATCCATTTTGTGTTTTCTAGCAGGATTTACCTTTTGGCATTCAGTTGTTTTGGGGGAAGCAATTACACTCGTTTCTATTGGACTCTTTGAATCCAAACCATTCTATGTTTCTATTATTCTATTGCACTCCCAGCTCCACATTAACCTAAAACAATAGGGACCAAATTCTCCACTTCCAGTAAGCATCTATGCTGGTAATGTAGAAAAAGAATAAGAGTACTGTATTTGTTTTTCTAATGCATGTGTTGTTAGGAAAATTAACAACGAGCAATAAAAAATTTATATTTAACTCTAGCATGTAACACTTTTTTAATATATCAACTAGAAGGAAGTGAAAATTTCCCTGTTGGAGTTGCCTGACTACAGAAAGAAAAAAGAAAAAGCCAAACCTCTGCTTTTCAGGTCTCTTAAAAATCCCAGATATATCCTGTACAGCGAACATGCTTGATCGTCTTTCAGTAACCAGCTTTCAGAAAAACCCTGCTGGGCACTTTGCTCCCGAAACAACTCCAGAAAATGCTTCTTAGAATAAATACAGGTTTATAGATACTAAGTACAATGTAGCTGCTCATTTTCTGCTTCTGAGCTGGAACACGTTTACAACACTGGAGCTCTAAGGGTTTGTAAATCAAAGTATTCCTGTCCAAATGTGATGTTACTAAGTAAGACTTTCTAGAAAACTGGACTTCAAAAGCCAGCAAGATTAAAAGGAGGACGAGAAAGGTTTTTCCCAATTTATGCAAAAGATGTGCACTAGTTGTGAATCACTAAGCTCTACAGTTGTTTTCTGAAGATTCATTGATAGGCAAGCTTCACTTGTAACTGAGCAATTGCTCTGTATGTTTCAAAGTATCCTACCAGCAACACAGGCACTTATGGTCAATTCAAAGCCAATAATAGCAGCAGAGCACAAGTCAGAGCACAAGTAATTAAAAAGGAACTTTAAAAATCTCTTTTCAGCGACACTGAGTTTGTCACCCCAAAAATAAAGACAAAAATTTTATATGAACGCTTCAGTATTTTTCCTATACTTTTGTGCTACATTTTATGACGTGAAGCCTAAAATACTGCAGAAATGGTTCCTTGGAATAAGTTTCCCTTGAGAATAAAAAGGTGTTTCTCCTTTTGAAATATGTGAAAGTCCCATTAAGATGCACATTTTATAGTGCAGAGAGTTCTGAACATCTAGTCCCCATACAGTACATGCTGTGCTGGTATTTCTTCACATTGTCTCCAGAGCGTACAGCATGATAAAGTTCAATCATATGAATTCTGGGTCCCCAAGGAATGTAAGATGGCTTAAAAGACAGACCAAGTAGGTGCTTTGTTCTCTATTTCTAGCTACTTTCCACTGTGTTTCCAGCAGCTGTCTTTGCAGATGATCTATTACTTTTGATCAAAAAATTATAGGATCATTTCATTAATGAGAGATGACCCAGAATCTCAAATTGTCTCTACTTGCAGAAAGTAGGATAGATAACTTACATATGTGTAAGCAGTGGAGCATCTGAAATATAACAGTCTGCCTGGAAGTCAGATGGCTCTGTGGTTTTCCTGCCTCATTCTTTGTTCAATGAGAACTTCTTCCTCTTCTTGGTCTAGACAGGTGTAGAAGTCCTTAAGTTTGTTAAGTCATGTTTGCAGCTCTGCCTGCAAGGAAAGTGTTCATAATGCATGAACTCAAATTGGATACTTTCCCCACTTATTTGGCAGTAAAAATAATATCTTGACTTTTTTTTGTTTGGGAGCTGAAGAGATAAAAGACTTTGCGACTACTCTAAGCCAGTGAGACACATTCAATATCCATCTGCTTGTGGTGTGGCCACTGTTCAAATGGGGAAGTCTTCAAATGCAAGCCTCTCTAAAGAAAAAACACTTAGAAGTTTAACAGATTGCTAACGGACAACAAAGTAAGAGCTACTAAAAAACAAGCTGACTCTGGGATTAGCAAGTAAAAGACAGAAAACTAAGGGTGGATCAAAGGATTTTCTGTCAGACTGGATTCAAAAAGTAAAGAACTCTAATCTGAATCACAGCAGCAGTTGTGCAGTGTAAAACTCAAGAAATTGTAGGCTAGGTGAATGTGGGACTGGACGCCACAAACTGTGCAAATGCAGGTAAACACATGTATACATGTGGAAATAAAATCTGGAGGCTTAGTTCAAGGAGGCTGTTAGCTTGCACAAATAGAGGTGAGACATGTGGAGAGGACAAGGGGAGGTGGAAATGGAGTGTCACAGCCAGGTCTATGTAAGCACCTTCTGACAGCAAACCCAACCTCCATTATTTTACTAAATGCTCTTCCCAGGAAAAATAAGTAAATAAATAAATCAGAAAAGCAGGGCCCAGACACTGAAGAAGAAAGTATTTAGGAAGTGTTTTCTGGTCTCCAGAAAGTGACATCTTCCATCTGCTGTGTTTGCCTGTCCGTCTGCAAAACACAACCTCTTGCAACAGGCAGCCACTACTTTCATATCTGAAGGCCCCTCAATACACAGACGTGGCAACCAAGCCAGGTTTTTGGGATCGGAAACATCTCCAGTTATGAAGCAGCTGTTGAATACTTTTTTAGTGGTTGTTTCATGGTAGTTTTGTTTTCTCTCTGAAAAACAGGCTAAAAAGTAAAAGAAGTAAACAAACAACTCAGCACAAAAAAAGTTTACTTCCTTCTAAACATAATTCTGGACCAGCATATATCAGATTAGTTTGACTTTTAATTATAAATTAACTTAAACTTTCTTTGAATTATTAGCAAATGAATAACAGGAACATTGTGCAGCTTACTCCCTCACTGAAGAGGCTGGTGAATTGGATCATATTTTCACCAGCAATTGAAAGAAGTGGCAAAAATACAGACGAAGAGAGCAATAATGCAAGATCAATATTACTGCTTCAGAAGTTCGTTTCATTTCACAGCTGTTTCAATCCTTATTCAATCTTGTGATTTAAATTTTTTTTTTTCCTTTTTTTTTTTTTTTTTTTTTTCCCTTTTTGTGCTTACTGGTTGGCTTGTTAAGCAGAATTTTCAGGGTTTGTTTTTTGTGCTTTTCAAAGTAAGTAATTCTGAAAGTCCACTTCATGTGCTCTGTAGAAAGCTTGGAGTGAGCCAGCACCTTCTCTGTTGAAACTATTGTGGAGATAATGTGCAATTGCTTCTGCATATTAGAGAGAAAGGGTTTGATGAAGAGTGCAGCTTTCTTCTTCTTCATATTGAAAGTGTCTATTTCTTTATCAGATATCAGATTCCAATTGCCAATTCAAATTCTTGTGCAAAGTACTTTTTACCACTACGTGTTTCTTTGCTGTTGATTTACTTTTGTGACTTTTGTTTTTCTTCAGCGAAGAGGAAGAAGCAGTGAAGTGACAAACTTAAAACAAAGACATTGTTTGTATATGACACGTTATATGTTACAAGAACTTGAAGAACTCTTTAGTTCAAAGCCAAGCATTCAGAGGTCAAAAAAGGCCAGAATGAAAATTGCCTGGGCAAACTTAATCAGGCAGTACAGTCTTTCACTACATGAATACACACAATCATTTTTCTGTTTAACTCCTATCATCACTTGGCTACTGTGCTGCGTTCATTAATGTGTTCTATGCATGACCTGCTTATAACTCCTTGGAAGGAAACTCCTTTTGGGGCTCTTCTGTTGATTCTTCTTGCTTCTTTCCTACACAGTCTAGCTTTTTCCCCTTTTTTTGCTCACACTAAACACATTTTTCTTCTACAGTGTGTGAGTAACAGTGGTAAAGTTGAGATACTTTTATTTTCAGTTCCAGTAACAAAACTGGGACCAACCACTTATGACCAGACCTCACATGAGGCATTATTTTCAAGAGGATTGTGACTTTCATGCACCAGGCCCAGGGAATATGCCCAACTGTTGTAGGGAAATTGCACTTGCCAAATGTGGCACTAGGAGGAGGCTGATTGTGATGAGTAGGGACAGGCTGTAGAGATCTACATGTTGAGATCTACAAAGTCTCCTAGCTGCGTATAAATGAAATATTTCAGAGGTGAATTAGGGCAGATATTTATGAGGCGTATTCCAATGACAACTTTTAAGCCTTGTTATTGTAACCTTACCTTCAGACACAGCTGATTTACTTCCAAGTATAAAATATCAAACACAACCTGAGGCAAAGGTAGGCATGGAAAACTTTTGTCCTAACTTGGAAAGATTAAGAGCAACTGTAAAAGCAATGTTAAAAAGAGTTTGATGGTGACAAACATCAAGCAAGCTTTACCATAGATAATACAACTATTACGCCTGCTAAATGCAGAGATCTTCTTAGAACACCTTTTGTGGCAGGTAAATAATTCTTTTCTTAGTGTAGTGTTTTTAAAATGAAACTACATCCAAATCAAATGGATATTTCATAACAGCAGGTGATTTCTGCATGTTTTTCTGACTTCCTATCAGCTCTGCACGCACTACAGAAATCCAAAATCAGAGAGGAACATCCAGTTAGCAGGATGTCACATATTTCCAGAATTCAGTTTACAGATCACAAAATATTGTCTATTCCTACATTGCTACAGGGGTCATCAAACTCTGCAAAAGTATGGGAGACCTAATCTATGCCTTAAAGGCAGTGCAATCTAGGTCATTGTATAATCATTGGATATCAAGTTGTTACAATCACAAAATAAACAAGAGAGTTAGGCGAAGTGGACTATGATAACAAGAGAGAATAAATGAAAGGCTTACCCTTATGCTGGGCTCACCACAAAACACCAGAAGGAGGGATCTCCAGAAGAGATCCTTCCCCACAGGTAGCCAGCTCTTAAAGGGGTCTAGGAGAGGTGCAGCCAGGCTCCACCCCTTCCGGCAGCACAGGTGAATTGCCTTCACCTGTGCTCCTCTGGCTGACTCATGGCTCGCCTCAGGTGATCAATCAGAGGTTCAGGCCGTGACTCAGTAGTTCCCATACAGTCATCCACAATTATCTTTCCAGCAGATAAAATTCCTACCTTAAAACCCATCTCAGTATATCATTCTAATAGAAAAGGAGAAGGCTGTTTGACCTGCCAATATACTTCAGTATCAGTATTTATATCATCTGTGTAGGTAACAAACCATTTGAAAACCTGGCACCTCAGCTGGAAAACCAAGTTTGGCTGACTACATTATGAGAATTTAAACTCACAAAAATATCACTTTCAACTTCTACTTCTATTTTTCTTTTCCTTAGCAGATTTTCTTGCTATTTTCCCATTTAGCCTATGAAGTTTACTGGAATGCCAGGGTGGGGAGTTGTTGTCATAACTAAGTTGCATGTCAGCCAGAATGGTGTATTGTGCTTGGTGCTTGCTAGATAATGGCTTGCTCTCTTCCGTGTATTTATAGATCAGGCCGGCTTTCCTTTCTAACAACAGTTAACTTCTGCAGGAGTCAAGTAATCCTTTAGTCACTTTTAGCAGCATGTCACAGGCATCTACTGCCATTTCTTCTTGTTTGAATAATTTTCAAAAGAAAAAACAGGTTGTCTTGGAGTCTCAGTGCACTAGATTTTATCATTTCATGGCCATCACTCAGAAAGTCCTTACAGGGCTCTGTAAAAACTCCACAGGGGCAGAACCATGTAACATCATGCTGAGAAAGAGAAAAGTCTAAACTGGAAAGCCTTAACAGGATAAAACTTGTACACTTGAAGTGATCCCTGTAGGGAAGAGAGCAATGAACAACGGATGTCTTAAGATAAAGCAGAATGCTGTTGAGTCAAACCTTAGAGACTATACTTTAAAAACATACAAGGGAATGCTTGAATGTATTTTATATTATCCTTACACACTAGTCTTTAAAAAAATAGACTTCTGCAGGCATAAGTCCAGAATACTTCCATTTTCAAACAGCTATGCACCCTACAACTTAGGTATGAAGAAAATGCACTTTATTGGTGATGATCTACATCTTCCAAATAGGAATTGGTAAAGAAAAGTGTAGGGTAAAACAAATACGCATGTTTAGATTTTTTTCCCCTGCTTGTCTGCAAATTATCAGTCCTCTTTTGCTTAGTCAGCTAAAAAATTAAGGTCAAAAGGTCAAAAGTAAATAACTATTTTATCACTGATCACCCCAGCAGTGTAGTCCCAAACAGGAGCTTTCCCAGGCTGTAGTGCAATGCTTAGTCTTCTGCTGCAAAATGGAGGTATGTCTCTAAGAGAGTCTGTTCTGATCAGCTTACTGCCAACATTCATGAACCACAGCCACAGAGCTCATCACATGTCCTCCAAGGTAAACTGAACTTAGTAGGGCAGTACATACTTACTTAAATGGAAAGCAGAATTACTGCATTTTTTTAAAGCTCGAGGCCTTCTTGAGGAAACAAACTTCTCAGCTTCACACATTGTGTATTTAATACTCTGTAGCAATAAATTCTAGAAGATGTCAAAATTGTCAGAAGTTTTTCATCCGTGTCACCCTACACGTCCTCAGGGTGATACAGCAGAAAATGATTGCACAGGTTGTGTCCTAGGAGGGAAATTTTCTTTGGCCACTCCCTTGCCAAGTATAGATGTAATACAAATATTACTTATTACAAATATTTCTACTGAAACAGTTTCCCAAACTGCCAAAAGATTTATGGCATTTTAACCCTTGAGGCTGGTTCATGTACAAAAGTATCTTTATGCAAACAAGATAGCTGAAAAACTTTTTCTGTAACAAATGTATGTTAAAAATGAGTCATATTCATAAAACCATATATATTAAATTTCCAAGAGTTAAAGTTGATTGGAACATGCCATTTACCTGAACAGCAAGTGCTAATGGCATCAGTTCTTTCACAGAATACAAATGAAGAAACCTCACACAATACAACACCTATGCAGTTAATAAGATCACCTTAAAGAACTTAATATTTTCACCTAGCTATTTTCACCTAGCATGATCAATGCATTTTGTTTAAAACACACTTTTTTCTTTTTTTCTTTTTTCTTTTTTTTTTTTTTTTTATTCCTGCTTTGCCTGCAGGCAAACAGAATCTATAACACACACACACAAAAACAAACAAACAAACAACATACAGCATATCCCATAGTCCTGGAATCCCACGCAAACCTTGACTCCAAGTTTGGCCATGCACCTTCCCTTAATCTGTAAATGGTTGCCTATGGAATGAAACACTGATACCAAACTGAGGAGCGGCAGTACATTTCAGTATGTTCCCAGGCTCTATTATGACAAGATGATATTGAGAGTACCACCAGTGTCCATCTACACCACTGTTCAGACATAGGCATCATCCCTGCCAACATTCTTGTATTTGGCACCTTTGTCAGCTTTACTGAAATAAAAAGATATTCTTGATTTTCACCAGGACTTCTCAGTAAAGTCCATTTCCACAATTCACTAGAATGGAATTTATCTTCACAACCATTTGTCATGAAATATGAATGCTACAAATAAGCAAACGTTTCCAGCATGTGGATAAAAATGTTTGCACATGACTTCTGGAATGAATTCAGTATAATTGGAGAACCTTGGGAAAGTGAGAATGTTTCAAATGCATTTACACTTTAGCTACTATAAAGAATTTAAATGAATTACTTATATATGTAGAAATAAGTAAAAACAAATTCAATATTTCACAAATCTCTCTCTTT